AGATTTGTTTCTACCTCAACGCATACCAAGGTTTGCTGAACAATCTGAGAGACAACTCTCATTGCGTGCCACGTGCAGTGGCGTTTCAGCTCATATTGGCTGCGATAGTACATTTGTTCCATTTCAATAGTATTGGCAATATATAAATTAAGCTAAATTAATATGAAGAAAAGGGTAAAAAGGCTACAACATGGGGTGCAAGCGATGGCAGACCTGCAACAGCATGGGCAGTTCGTGGTGGGACCACGCATCGGGGGAGGACAGGCGGCAAAGGGATGAGCCTGGACATATCAAGGGCAATTCAGAGATCAGCAATGAGTCCAAACACAGGACGACCATTGACATACGTAAACAGCAGAGTGGGCCTAGAGACGACTAAGGGGCAGTAAGAGTGACATGCTTCATTGTAATTGTGTGACCATGCAACTTTTTGGAGAGTGAGCGAGCACGGCCTGATGGGATGGCAGTAGCGACCAAGCAACCCACAGCCTTGTTCAAGTGGTCAGCTGATCAACAGACTACTTTCAAGTTGTTTGCATAAACATTTAGATATATTAACCTCTAAATAATTTATCTATACCATCATTTAAAATAATTGCTTGTAAACTTGAGACCCAAAATAGTATATTACTTAATTAAGGAAGTTAGAGTATAGATGCACATACCTTTGTACTGATTTCTCTTGAAATTGGACAGCTTTTCTGACAGGTACCGCCGTATCTTCTGGTGCCGGGCTGCCCTTTCAGCCTGGCGGTACCTTTCTCGCTCAGGTGTAGTCAAAAGCATCCTGGAATATTTAAATTCCAGGGTAATTATTTTTTGCAGTGCTCAGACTTAAAACAATATAGAATGTCATAAATACGGGCTGGAGGGTCATAGTTTGAGAAGACCAAGGGTAAATTAGTCTCAAATGAAAGCAATTAAGTGGCAGCTGGCACCTAACAAGCCTTCAACGTTTCTTAGTATTTACAGTGTTCAGAGATCACCATGAAAGCAAAAGTACCGCAGTATCCTCATTTATGTTCCACTCCCAATAGACAGCTCACCCTGGCTTCTGTTAGATTCTTTTAAGCACAAAACAGGTAGCCAATGTCTATAAATCTCACTGCTAGGCTAGTGACCTTGTAAGAAATAGGAGCTACAACTGTAGATAAGTAGACAATGTACGTTGGAAACTGCTTATACTTGGTTATCATCCCTCGCTGTGGTAACAGCTTAGACACGCCACAGAATTAAAAAAAATAGCATCATGGGCACCAGAAAGAACAATGCAGTTCTATATAAAAACAATCTTTCACATTCCTTGAAAGATCTTCCATTCATGGCCTGGCTCTAAATTTAAAGGTAATTAAACAGTCTTTCAATGTGCACCTGGTGGAGGCCTCTGAAGCTTCGTTGGGAGGTAATCTAGCAATGTTGGGGATCTTGGACGTAGTCGTGACGTGGCGAAAACCGCTATGTAGCTGCACTACACATCGGAGCAGCGCCGCTGTGTGGAGGTATACTCAACTGCTGGAGTAATCTCGCCCTGAACGCGATGACCTTGACATTACTTATCTCACACATAGGCGCTTAGACGGCTTAGTCCGCTTTGGTCCACGTAAAGCCCACAGGTGTTTCAAATGGCTAGGCTGTAACGCATCTACACCACCACTATGCACCCGAACGGCACAGCTCGTAGCCACGCCAGCTTTGCCGGATAGCCCACGATGCATCGAGCTCTAAGTTGACTTCTCTTCGAGCACTTGCTCGAGTTTGTTGCTTAGAACGAAAAATAAATTTATCTGTTCAAAATACAAATGCGGGATTATTTACGGTTATTATCTGTTATGACTGACTCATTCTTGGCGGGGTACCCCCATCACATGTCCAGGTGTTAGCAGACAACCCTACTGAAAAAAGCCATTTGGCGCCCATATGAAAATAAACGGGTCCATACCGGTAACCGTTTAACCATACTGGTCACCAGTTTGTCAAAGGGGTCGCCCGTATGGCCCAAAGGGGCCCCCCGTATGAGCCATAACGGTCACCTATTTGGCAAACGGGTCGCTCGTCTGGGCAAATGGGCGACTCGTTTGGGCAAAGTTGTCGCACGTTTGCTCAAACCGGCGACCATGTTGCAAACTGCACCGGTTTAATCAAACGGCTCTCCGGAGCCCATTTGATGTTGAACGTACAGATCGGCGGCGTGGGCACGCCTAGCGTTTCCGCCGTGGCAGCCAATGTTTTCCGGAAGGCTGGGAGCGCCGGTTCATCGATTTCAGATCGTCCGCGTAATGCAAGTAATGATATTTATATTTCAATTGCGCTGATTTTCGATTATACTGCAACTAAAACTAACACCTTTTTTTTTTTTGTTTTACGTAAACGCGCGACGTTGGTGAGCCGATATTTTTGACAGACCTTTAATACTTTGTCCATCTTTGTTTCCTCAATTTACTTATTCAGCTCGAATCTCTCTCGCAAAAGACGCGACCGCGTGAAAGAATGTACGTCTAGACTCCGTTTCACTTTAATTCAAGAGGCAGGGAAGGTAGCACGCGTACACGCGGCTGCAAGAACATCGAGCATTGCGGGAGCACGCCCGCGGTTGCAGCACTCAAACTACGAGCTTGCGCTGAGTTCTTTCTTCGCTCGGGCGCAAGGCGAGCTTCTGGCAGCCCCGCCGCCATTTCCAAAGTTCGAGCGCGCGCGCGCGCGCGCGTTTGTTCTTCGGGACTACAAAAACGCATCTCCCTGGAATGCCTGGGGAGAGGGAGAGGTTTGTCCCGGTGGTCCCAGCGCCTTGACCTCGCCCCCTCCCTCCTCTCTTGTCACCCCTGTCACGTGACCCACAGCAGCGCGCGAGCTACACGCTGATAAGCATCGAGATCCGGAAGGGCGCGCCTTGCAGCCGCTTTTTTCTTTGTCTGCTTGTTGTCAGTTGCTGCTCGAAGTTCGCTCGTCCTACCTGCTTCAATCTGTCGCCTAACGCTGCGGTCTTATTGGGACGCCTCTCGACAACGTATTGGATGTGCACCAAAGCTATCAGTGTTCGAAAAGACCCACGTGTATGTCGGCAACGAGCGATTCTTCAAAGAAGTCGCAAATTCTCGCGGTTTGGTTGGGTTCGGCAAATGACAGCTTGTGCGCCGCATCGTGTTGAAACTTCCAAGGAGCCGTTCCCTCTCGTTTGTGTTTGTGTGGTTGTCCTGCTTTGACCGTGTCGACAAATATCACGGATTACCTCTTTCAAGTCCGCTATTGTTATGGTAAGTGCACTGCAACCTACGTGTTGGCAATGATTGACCGTTCTTCTACGCGTACTCTTCTAAATTATCTAAAGAATTATGCAGCGCCTATTCGCGCGGCAGCCAGGAGAATAATTTCCCCGAAAGTCTACCTGTATAGTGTTCACAGACCGCTTGCACGTTTGTACTTCTACAGAAGAGGTAATAAACTTCGAGGAGAATTGAAAACAATCTTTTGTGTCGGTTTTCCTGTCCACTTACAAGCACCTACGCGAGTGCATTTGTTCTACGTGTTTTCTCCATGTTATAAATACGTATACGAGTTTCGGGACATCTTAAATATGTTTAAGATAACCAACCTCCCAGACGATACCCATTTAGGGCTAGCGCATAATTTGCCTTTCGAAAGGCACGTTCAAACGTGTGGTCACGCGCCATGTCGAACCGGTACTCGTACCATACGGCACCCGTATCAAACGGGCACCTGTATCAAACGGGTACCGTTTCGAACGGGTACCGTTTCCAAACGGGTACCCGTATCCAATAATCACGTTTGATCCAAACGGATCGACAGGTTTGATTCAAACGGGCGACCAGTGTGCCACCCGTTTGAATTTCAAATGGTTTTTTTCAGTAGGGAACCTACTAGAGTAAAATCTCGGTGATACTAACTGGTACGAATTTCGGAATAAAACAAATTAACAAATTCCCCGGCCGAAGTGCATTGTATACGACGTGAAAATTTTTGGGTGTTCCGAATTCCTCTACACGCTGCGACGGCTGATACGAATGCGTGCTCCACAACTGATAGTGGCAAGGAGGCCACGATCGGCGACTGTAAGCTTTCAAGGCTCCTGGCGGCTGATTGCGTGCTGCTGCCAGGGATCAGCCGCACTTTACCCAAAAACTGGAGCTCAAAATTACATCCATGTTACAATCGGACCCAAAAACCAAAACTAAACAAAATGCTAAAAAAACTGTGCAAAGTGGCCAGCCCCATCACCATCAACACATGTTTCAAATCCAATCCAATCTGAATCCAAAATCGCTTTTTTTGTTTTTGCGATCTCGTGGAATGGTGTTTCAGCCTTGGAAAAGCAAAACCGATTTTACTATAAGGTTACCTCTATAAAACAAAGTAACTGCGTTGGCAAAAACAGAAAACCGAGTGATGTTGGTGGTGTCTTCGGTGTGGTCCACGGTGACATGCGAGCTTGGTTGGAAAGACAAAGAAACCGAATTTTTGCTTGCAAGTTTTTGATGTAGGGCTTCAACAGCACATAGTGTGGGCACTTTCTGAGTATGTGCATTTGATAAAATGTTTTCCACAAAGTGTATGTGGTTCAGCCGTCATTATTTTATCTGCGAAGTAGAATCGACATTTATCTACGCAGTAGAATCGACATTAATTCATTTTTTCAACATTCGTGGGTTGATTATAACCGTGTGTTTCTATCGGGGGCATGTTAGGATCGTGTAAATTGCATACAAGATATTTTCTGCCATAAATAAATGCACATTCATGCATTCCTTGTGTTTCAAAATATAAATTTTGTTTCGCTTTCGTTGATACGAATTTAGCATGAAATATTTTACGCGACTCCGCGAGATTCATATCAAGATTTTAAAAATGTTTGCTTAATGAGAGAGCCTGCACCTTGCGCTGAGTGAGCGGGGCAAACGCCTTCCTTGCCTCGCTGCCTTTGCCTTGTTGGAGAGGGTGCCGGTCACCGACCTCTCCAAAAGCACTTCTACTCACCCTATGGAAGCAGCAGTGATCTTGCAAAACATGGAGTCACACTCTGCTTTCCGCATGTTGCCCGCATTCCTGGTTGACGTGCACACCTTGCCCGACATGGATCTTTTATAAACAAAAGCGAGAAACAGCTTCACATATACCAGTCGTTGACGTAGAGTGGTACTGTATACTCCAAGATGCATTGAAAATGCACTAAAATAATTACATTAATGAAATTTAGGCCTTTAAATTTAAGACAGCAGTACACATGAATTCCTATCTTCATGGGCGTCTGCGAAGCTGATGGGCCTACAAAGCTTCATGGCATCTGCATGAAACAGCTACATAATCCCTTAGTTGCATCAGGTGAGCATGACAACAGAATGTTTTCCAGGCACTGGCTGTAACTACAATTAAAAGCCTGGCTACAATAATGTTTTAATGACTTCTTGTTGCAATCGATTCAATCTACTGTGCTTACATTATCTCAGGAGTGGCCAAACTGAGGCTCGCGAGCCGCACGCGGCTCTTTGCGGGTCCAAGTGCAGCTCGCGGCTTCCTGGAAAACGTGTCCCCTAGACGAAAAGGGTTCTAGAATTTAGAAAGAGCTACAAGTCTTGGCAGCCTGGCAACGCACTACATATATACACCTGGAATGCTTTTTGCCACATAGATGCGTCGAGTGACCCTGTTTCCTTTATTGTTCTAGAAAGACTTTCAACCGTATACGCATAACAGTTGTCAGGGGCAGTGACTGGCTAGTGAATCGTGTATTAATTTTTGCTTAGCAGTGGAAAGGACCTTCTGATGCATAGTGTCATTTGTTGTTATCGCCCATTATACTTGTCCTCTATGGAAATAACTGTTCCCTCCATATTGTTTCTTGTTAAAAGTAGCCCCCCCCCCCCCCCCCCCCCCCCACTTTCTTTTTTCCAGTGACTCTAAACTTTCGTAGTTTTGTCTGCGGCTATAACTCCATGTCACTCTGGCCACCCCTGCACTATCCTAAACTCTTTTAATGTATATTATACACTGAATGAAAGTGAAAAGTTTTTCTATTTTACCATTCCTTCCTTTTCTGGAGGCCGATGCTAGGATCCACGATCTCATTCTTTGCAAGGATGTCCTCGTCAGCAACTGAAAAAAATAATTTCACATGAAAGAGGTACAGAAACCAAATTCCAGCGCTCATTTTATCGCTTTAATGAGTTGCAGGTTGCAACATAACCTCAAAAATACCAGTCCTTTGCTGAAGGGCACGATCAAACTAATTTTAAAGCTAATCAAACAATCTTTTAATGTGCACCTGATGGATGCATGTGGAGCCTATTTGGGAGGTAATCTAGCAACATTGGGAACTTGCTACGTAGTCATGACGTAGGAAGGACATTCCTCGGTCATTCTGCTCAGCAACAGAGCGCAGCCACAACAGTAGAGTAGAGAGCTCTTTGCCGTTTATGCCTTCTTTCTCAGCATTATTGTTTCCACCCTTTATGAATGAATATCCTCTATGCAAGATATAAGCCATGTGTTGCATATGACATGTTCGGCTCTATCACCGCACAGCAAACTTCTTTCATATACTGCAGGTTCATTAAAAAAGTTGCCTTTTTAATGCTAAAGCATGGGTTCTGTTAGTACGGTAAACATAAGAGTACCCAGAGGTCAGGCCATAAATGACTTACGTGTTAGGCAGTAGGGCCCTACAGCACCTCCCGTATCAACAGCCGAGCCGCAGGTGGTCCTGCAATTGATAGAGCAGGGTAAGTCAGAGAAAGGTGTTTCTAGCAGCTCTGCCGGTGTGCCCCCTAGCAGCATTACTCACGCACATTGGGATGTAGGCAGAAAGCATGGCATTCCTCATCAACAAATCATGACAACACATTGTTGCCGGCATCAAACTGGATCCCTGTGCTATTTTTCTTTTTTTTTTGTGATTTGTCTTCCTTGTCACTCCCGACTGCTTTACTGGCCTTTGTGAAATAAAGAAGGCTTGGTAAACTGCAAAGTCTTGACTGAGTGGTGAAACAGAGCAATCCCAAGGAAGTATAAATGTTAAGGACTCGACAGGACATTACGCAGTGTTGGGATTCCCAAGCGGCTTTCCACACTCACATTTTGTGCACGACCAGCTCTCTTTCTGCATCAGTTGGTCAGTTGTGTGCCCGTTTCGGTCGCTGCTAGCCATATATGGCTGGCGCTGCTTTTGAGAGCCTTGCAACATCGTCACTTTCAGCTTTTGTCCCGACATAAACGGCATCTAAAAATGTAATTAGCGCTAAGATTTAGCTTTTGGACACTCCCAGAAAAAATAGGCTGTACCACATTACATAGACAGGTAATGATATTCTGGTGACAAAATTTCCACACAAACTGCTTTGCGTTAGAGGGCACAAGGGCTGACGTTCCTTGGAGGAGCAGCTTTGTGTGAACTTGCAGATGCTTCAGCTGCCTGTTTGCGCCTGGCCAGTTCAGTTGCCATTTCCTCTTGGGTTTCTTGTAGGTACAGTCGGGGACAAAAGTCTCCAGGACACGCAAGCTGCGACTGAAACGCATTCCTCTGCCATCTGCCGGCGGGTCGCCTGGTTTCGAGATCACAGAAGGGCGCACGTGCGTCCTATTGTACCTGCCAACGTGTGCGCTTTCCCGCTCTGCTGCGGCGCGGCGCCTAACTCGGAATCGGGCGCGTGGTACCACTTCGGAGATAGTGCTTACTGACATGGCACCTATAAAGCAAGAAGTCACGGCAGCTCAATTAAGCGATAAGCTGAATTGGTTATAAAGCAAGGTGCGCTGACACGACGAAATGCAACGCAATGCCCCAGGCGGTATCTCGAGTTTTGGAATGTATAGCAGACGCTCGTCAGCCGCCAGCGCTATCTCCGAGGCAGTACCATGTGCCCGATTCCTAGTTAGGAGCTGTGCCGCAGAAGAGCAGGAAACGCACATGTTTGCAGGCAGAGTAGGACGCGCATGCGCTTTTGTGTGATCTCGAAACCAGGGGACCCGCCGGCAGGTGGCAGAGCAATGGGTTTCAGCCGCAGCTAGCACGTCCTGGGAACTTTTGTCCCCTACTGTACATTTGTGATCATGAGTAAATAAATTGGTCAGGAAGCAATGGCAGCTGATGCAACATCAATGCAAGCCATGTATTATATGACTCGCATGAATTGACATTGAATCAGCCACGATTGTGCGCCTAAGTTTGTGCTGCGGAGCGCAAGAGTTTGGCGCTCTGTTCATTAAATGGACAGAAGCGCCACCAAAGGACTGACATTCAAGCGTGCTCTTTTTGCACCGAGTATTTCTCGAAATGCAAGTCATTTCTTCGCGCTGACAGAAACGTCGCCGAGACGAGGAGTGCAGTGGATCGCTGCCTCATTTCAGTTGAAGAATGCTTAACCCAGCAAGTAAAATGATTTGATTTCAAAGCCAGGACTATTACGGAAAAGGTTTGTTCCCGAATCTCACCTGAAAACGAATTACCCATCGAACAGTAGCGTTATGATGGTACAGCGACAGAAAAGTTGTCGAGATGAGAGGACAGTCCGATCGCTGCCCTTTGTAGAATGCACAGCCCTGCGAATAAAGATACTTCGATTGGAAAGCGAAAACGTTGCGGAAAAAGTTTGTCCATGCATCTCGCCTGAAAACTAATTAATGTGCTATTTATTGAACGGTGGTGTGCCAGTATTGGAGTAGCACATCGACAGGTTCCGTGTCGCGCTGGAAGACGGAAACCCACGATATCTGACAAGTTTGAGAGTTTCTTGTTTTGACAAGCGAGTTCAAGAATGTTGTCTTTCATTTGAATCTAAACAGCATGCATGGTCAATAAATAGATCGGTCAAAGTAACATTCAGCAAATCTGGTCGAATCGAGTCTTCAAACCTTTCGCAAATATTAAAACATTCGTAAAAATTTCCTAACGTCGCCGCAAATTTCTTTTCTTTTTTTTTTTTTTTTTTTTTTTTTTTAGGGGGGCTTTTACTTTACCATTTTACAGAGCCCTTAATTAATTTATCTTCAAAATAATTTTGGCATCCGCGAGATGCTGGGTTTGTCATAAAACTGTGGTCGGAAGTGGTTCATACAGCTCGCCGACAGCTTCGGTGTGTTGCGCTACTGTACGCTATGCTTCGTTTAGTTGCTGCGCTCGGAGTGTGAAACTCGGAACGGTGGAGTACGAGTAAATTAGCGCGGACTTAAGGCACAGGAGCAATGGCGGCTTGTAGGGTGCCATATGATGTCACGTGCAAGGCAGTTCAGTCCACACGCTCAACTGAAGTATTAGCCCATGCATTCATCTGCCTAGCTTGGTGCCCCATATAAGGAGTCTACAATATTCACTTTTAATTACAGTCGCAATAAAAAAGAAAGAAAACGGCGATTGCTTGTGGCTACGTCGCACTTTGGGATGGTAAAAAATACATACTCACCAGTCAGTTCGAGGATCTCGGCGTCGTAATAGCCTCCTCGAGTGTTCGCGTCGCCGTCCCAAGACACCTTGTACGCCGTCCTACGCTCGAAGTCGACCACATTCGAAGGATTGCAGTTTTTAAATGAAGCCCTTTGGACGTCGCTTATTTCTCCGTTTTCGCAAAATCGAGTGAAACCTACCGAAATATCCAAAACCTCGAAAACACTCCACGAGGAAGGATGAGGCTGCCGAGGCAACAAAGCGCACGAAACAACTGGATTTGGATTTGGATTCGAAGCTTTTGAAGACGCAGTTGCTCAAACGGAAATAAGCGGCGAACGTTTTTCAAAATATAAAGTATACGTTAAAATTAACGGATCGTCGAGTGTCGAACACTGCGTATGAACTTGAATGAGAACATTTTTGAGAGAAACCTGTCAAGTGTCAACACTGCGTGTAAAGAAACTGGCGCCGCAAGTAGCCGATGCGTCGGCAGTAGCCGATACATTAAAGACTAACTCATAATTTACGCGACCCTCGACAGTTCTCCGCCCGTGGCGCAGGGGTAGCGCGTCGGCATACGGAACGAGAGGTCGCTTGTTCGACTTCCCCCGGGAGAAGGAACGCGTGTGTTTTTTTTTGTGTGTTTTTATTTTTATTATATCTTTGATGGTGGCGGTGGTGTTGAAAACTTTAATTCAGTCTAAAACCCCTGCGAAGCTGCTTTGTTAACGACCGCCCTGGTTTAAAAGGGTTCTAGTGCAGCTGAATACTGAATAATGCAGGTTTTTCTACCTTTCCTGTCGCCGGTTTTAGCACCTTTCGTGACTCGACGTGTTTCCGCTCAAGAACTTTTAAGGTCGCCTGAACGACGAGACACATAAGGCTTTTCCTTAATAAAAAAAATCACATCAACCCATTGACCACGCGGCTGCGGCCCATCATATATCATACGCGAGATTCAACGACAGCTTTTTTTATCGCGACATAGCCTCAAATCGCCTATTTTGTAGCGTGCAAAGTTGCGGAGCCTCCTCGACTTTTGGCCGCTCATTCAGCGAGGCGGTGGCGCATTCCCCCGACTATTTAACCTTCGGGCAAAGTAAAGCAAAGCAATGGCCGCGCGGTCTGTTTGGAAGCTGAACTTAATTGCCGCCGCGACCGTCCGATGCGCACAACGGTTGCGAGGCTCGGGGGGTGCCGTGTCTATAAAAATTAATGTATCGACGAAAAGTCTGTCCCCCTTCCGTTGGTAATGAAAGGCGTAGATGAAGCATATACGAAACGATGAACCGTATACCGTGAGGACGGGTTTCCACGGTGCGTGATTGCAGACGAACGCACAGTTGCCGGTGAATCGGGGACTCAGTGAGTAAAGACAAATTGCGTGACATAGTTGTGTCAGCACCTCGCGAGCCCGCGACTCATCACATGCTGGCAAATATGTCGCGACCCATATATCAATTGTTATTAAACGCCTCTGACGGCGCCGTCAGAATACCGCGAGCAACAATTAATCAAGCACTTTAGATAAACATTGTGCGCAAAGAAAGTCCCGACGGCCGGGAAATAAGGCGCTTTTGATGGAACTAAAGTGAAACATAAAACTTCTGACGACCATTAGACCACCTCTGACAGCCCATCAAGAGTGCCCAACAGACCATTAGGCGCCGTCAGGAACTTCTGACGGACCATCTAAACGCATCTGATGGTTCATCAGGACAGTCGGATGGTGCGTCAAGAATGGGCTGATGGTCCATCAGACTTTCTTGATGGTCCATCAGACCTTCTTGATGGTCCATCAGACCTTCTTGATGGTCCATCAGGAAGCCTGATGGTCCATCAGGAAGCCTGATGGTCCATCAGGAAGCCTGATGGGCCTTTAAAGAAGTCTAATGGTCCATCAGGACAGTCTGATGGTGCGTCAAGAATGGGCTGATGGTCCATCAGACTTTCTTGATGGTCCATCAGACCTTCTTGATGGTCCATCAGGAAGCCTGATGGGCCATCAAAGAAGTCTAATGGTCCATCAGGAAAGTCAGATGGTCCGTCAGGAATGGGCTGATGGTCCACCAGGAGTGGGCTGATGGTCCATCAGACTTCTTTGATGGTCCATCAAGAAACCTGATGGACCATCAGAAAAGTCTGATGGACCATCAAGGACCTCTGATGGTCCATCAGGAAAACCTGATGGTCTTTTCGATCGGGAACCGTGGTCTACAAGTCAGGCCGAAAACACAGCGACGCCGACTGCCTGTCCAGAGCCCCTGTCGAGTCAGCTGACGGATGTGCCAGAGA